TCGATCAGCTGCCTCCTGCACACCCCCTAACAGGGGATGTCCCCGGAACCAAGGTACATATGCCCTTGACCAGAATTGAACCTGGGACCCTTGAGTCTGCAGGCAGATGCTCTATCCACTGAGCCAAAGTGGTTAGGGCAGGAAAGGCAATTTCTTGGTAAAAGCAAAGTGGTGTCTTTAATCCCAAGGACAAAGGTGAAGACAAACATTCCTACTAGAAGGGCAGTCTGAGCCTCCCAGTCCCCTCTATCTACTTGATTTCTTAGGATTCCTTGAGGCTAAAACCAACCAGTTTTCAGACTGTTGTTAGCTTCAAGATGTCAGAAGTGCTCACAGTTAATTTAATGAATGCTGACATTAATATAAAATAGCTATAATTAGAAATTCAGTTTTAGCCTTAGCCGGTTTGGCTCAGTGGATAGAGCGTTGGCCTGCAGACTGAAGGGTCCTGGGTTCAATTCCAGTCATGGGTAAGTACCTCAGTTGTAGGTTCCTCCCCCGCCCTGTCCCTGGTCAGGGTGTTTGATGTGTTTCTCTCACATTGTTGTTTCTCTCTGTCTTTCCCTCTCTCTTCCCCTATCTCTAATAATCAATGGAAAAATATCCTCAGGTGAGGAATAAAAAAAGAAAAATGCAGCTTTAGATTTTCATTGTCTGCAAATACCTTCATTGTTTTATCAAATGTTTCTTAAATTTATATTAATGCTCATTTATCTCTCATATAGTGGATTTTTATTTTTAAAAGTATTTGAATAAAAAGATTCTACACTTGGCCATTGTTGCTCAGTGGTTAAGCATTAACCTATGTACCAAAAGGTCACAGTTCTATTCCAGGTCAGGGCCCATGCCTGGGTTGTTAGGTGTGATCCCCAGTATGAGACATGCAGGATGCAGCTGGTTGATGTTTTTCCCACATGGATGTTTCTCTCTTACCCTCTCCCTTCCTCTTTTTCTAAAATCAGTAAAAATATTTAAGAAAAGAAGATTTTACTGCAGAAAATAAAATGAATTGACTTTGAAACACAGAAAAATGAAGTGGAGGTTAAAATTCAAAATAGAACTACCAGATGATCCAGCAATTCCACTTCTGGAAATGAAAGAAATGAAGTCACTATGTGGAAGAATAGATATCTGCACCACCCTGGTTAGTGCAGCATTATTCACAATAACCAAGACATGGCACAACCTGTGTCCATCGAAGTGTGACTAGATAAAGAAAAGGTTATTTATGTAGGTCCTGCCATTTGCAACAACATGGCTGGACCTTGGGGGCATTATGTTAAGTGAACTGAGTCATACAGAGAAGGACAAAGACTGTTGACCTCACAGATAGGAATCCGAAAACCAGACTCCTCCAAAAAGAAATCATATTTGTAGTTGCCAGAGCCAAGGGTTAGGGGGCTGGGGAAATTGAATGAAGTTGGTCAACAGCTATAAATTAAGCAGGTACTGGAATGTAATGTACGGCATGATGACTATCATTGGTAATAGTGTATTGTATATTGGCAAGTTGCTAAGAGAATAGATTTTAAATACTCTGATCACAGGGAAGAAAAATGTTTTTGGTAAGTATGTGAGGTGATGAATGTTACTTAAATTTATTGTGGTAGTTATTTCACAATATACACATTATTAAATCATTATGCTGTATATCTTAAATTTATACAATGATATACAGAAATTATGCCTCAAGGAGTCACCGATGCTGTGGGTCCTCAGAATACACTTTGAGGCAGGGGTCCTCAAACTACGGCCCGCGGGCCACATGCAAATACAAATATTGTATTTGTTCCCGTTTTGTTTTTTTACTTCAAAATAAGATATGTGCAGTGTGCATAGGAATGTGTTCATAGTTTTTTTTTTTAACTATAGTCTGGCCCTCCAACGGTCTGAGGGACAGTGAACTGGCCCCCTGTTTAAAAAGTTTGAGGACCCCTGCTTTGAGAAGTGAAGCCTTGTAGAAGCAAGGTATAGACAAGTGGTTCTCAACTCTGGCTACTCCTATAGTCACATTTCCAAGGACATGAGAATTCTCAATGGTGATGTATGTGTCAGATGATGTTGGGAAGTCTTTTGAGATAGAGAACAATGATGAGGGATCAGGCGGCAGTAATTGCTTGGGGTATCAGGTGAACCGATAGCCCCATCAGGGGTCTGTGCCTTGGTGGAAGGACAGTGTTCCTGGCCCTAAAAAAGAGGGGAGGCTTCATTCTGGCCAAGGAAGCATTTGGACACCCTAGACCCGTGGTTCTCAACCTTCCTAATGCCGCAACCCTATAATACAGTTCCTCATGTTGTGGTGACCCCCAATTTCATTGTTACAAATTGAACAGAATTAAAGCATAGTGATTAATCACAAAAACAATATGTAATTATATATGTGTTTTCCGATGGTCTTAGGCGACCCCTGTGAAAGGGTCGTTTGACCCCCAAAGGGGTCGCGACCCACCGGTTGAGTACGGCTGCCCTAGACTATGCAATACTCCTTTCAGTCTTGACTGTGTTCAGTGCAGGACGACAAGCCTCCTCCAAACTACTGGATCCTGTTTACCTCCCCTGCCACAGCCACGGTTCAGGAAAAGGACTGAAGGAACGGTTTTGTGAGTTAAATGGACCTGTGGGTTTTCTGGAATGAGACTCTTTTTATTTAGTTGTTCACTTCTGAGAACACCTTTCCTTTGACAAAAGAAGAAATGGGGAATGGTTAAGTAATATTCATCAATCTCTTATCTACTCAGTACTTCAATTTATGCCACACAGTCTTTTGCCCTACATAGCTACCACGACCACAGGAAGAAAACATTCTAGTGAACTTGTAATTTACGTGTAAGGCTAGCACTGTGATTATCAGCAAATGCATCCTGGATAGTTCAGGTGTCGACCATCCTGCAATGCAGAGTGCAAGAGGTACCTCCTTAAACAATGGCTGCTAGACTCTGGTTATGAATTGGATCCCAATTAACTGCAAGGAGTCCTTTGGGGCAGGTATAGTTTTCTCATGGTCAACAGATTTACACATCACCTCCACACTGAGTGACTTATATGCTCAGCTAAGAATCAAAACATTGTGTTGTTCAGGGAGGAAAAGGAATTTTCATGATTTATTGAACCCAGAAAGGCTTCAGTACATCTCAGATGCAGAATTGTGTAAATATATATGAACTTCTGTAATTCCAGAAGGAGCATTTGAGTTTTGTACTGAGAGCTTCCATTTCCTCACCAACCTCTCATTCCTTACCCTATGTGATAGAGGTTCTATCTGCCTCATTCTATGAACAGAATAGATGTGGATACAGAAATGGGATTATTACAATTTTATTCATTACATGATTCCAGATGTAACTGGTGTTTATAGAGAAAACTGAAAAAGCACAGAGAAAATGAAATATGCATAATCCTTTCAACTAAGTTAATTTGGTATATTTCCAACTAATCTCTTTTATGTGTACCAATACTCACTCTGTTTTATAAAGGAAATGCCAAAGGCCACATGCTGATTTGGAGTCTGTTTTGTACACTTACAAATCTATCAGTTACATTGATATTTTAACATTGCATGCTGCCTAGGATTCCCATAAATTCCTCAATACTGTTACCAGACAATTAGCATTTTATATGTTGCCAAAATTTGACATCTTTGTTCACAGCTCTGATGATTTCTTTGAGCTAAACTCTAAACAGAAGTGGTGGTGTAAAAGTCATGTCCATTGTAAAACTTTTAACATACAACAAAGTTATATTAAAAACTAAACATTTGAGGGTGCTGCTGCTCCCAATGCGTTGACTCACAATTGCTGACATTTTGATTCTTTGCCAACTAAAGAACAAAATGTCAACACCTTCCGTGTGCTCTTTAATATCCCTCCTTATTCTTTTTAAAAACCAGTCTCACAGATTTACTCACGACTCTACCAGTAAATCTTGCTCATTCTTCATGTTCCCGAATTGAGATGGTTTCACCACAAAAGTTCTCCCTCTTATCAATTCCTACTCATCCCACCAATCATGGCATTAATCACACTCAGGAATTTGACACTTGATACACCAGTGTCCTTACCCCTTTCCAAACGTGTATTTTGTCTTCAATAAAACATTTAGTTCCGAAATGGCAAGGGTCCTATAGGTTGAGACCCAATAGCCTTAAGGCATGGTGTTTAATAATGTACCTTCCCAGGGGCCTCTCAAGGGACTAGGGGCAGAGGCATTTATATTGGGGTTGGGGGTGCAGTGGCCAAGCCATCTTGGTGATTATGAAATCTACCAGGCCTTGAGAGGATTCAGTGGCAGACCTTCAACCACGGAAATCTCAACGATTGTCCCTAATTATGCCTGATTAATGCCAAATTTGAGCGAAGGCCCTGGCTCTGTTATCTGTGGAAGTGGGGTGTCCACCAGTGGAAGAGGGGAATCCCTTTCCCACTGGGGGCTCAGGGTCGGGTCCTTAAGATATCTCGAGAAAAAGAATTTTCTGAGACTAGATCTGGAGGCCTCAGGACAAAAGTGGAACCGTAGGGGTGCTGGCACCTACCCAACCTGCTGTCTGGGCTCTGGGCTTTTATTTTCAGGTCCATGTGCTTTAGTCTTGGATCCTGGCGTCCTGGAAAGAAGCAAGGACGACTGGGCCAGCTCTCCTTTCCTTTCCATCCTTCTTGAGTGGGGTGCTAACTGCCTGGTTAAGGACCAGGCACTGACCCCCCATTTCTAGGAAACCTTGGCCTTGCTTCCAGCAGCGGGAGCCCCAGCTGCCAGTGGACCCAGTTGGATGAGACCTTGGCCAGGCCACGCCCCGTTCCCTCCTGGCTAACACACAGCCCTGGGGTCTACGCCCCGCCTTTGAGCCCGCCATTGGCCCCGCCCCAGCGTGACGCAATGGACCAGACCACGCCCACTAACGGCAACGCACTTGACACTTTTTGAGCCTGGGGATTGTTGTGTCTGGTAGCCGCCCTCAAAACCACAAAAACTCCCTGCCCCTCAGGTTTCTCGCTGATGTCCAGACAATGACGGCATCTTACCAGCCGCGCAGGGCATCCTCCCGCCGCCTGGAGAGGCCCTTTTCTTGGGGCTTCCTTGGGATCCTAGTGGTGGCCCTAGAGCTCCTGCTACCCACATGCTCAGGTAGGGAAGGGAAAGGGTGTCAGCCCTGGAGGGAAACTAGAGCGGGTAGGGGAGCTGGCCTACAGGAGCGGAGGGCGAAGGGAACTTTGCTTGGTGTGTGGGGGAGGAGGCTCAGGGCTTGGTGGACCAGGTGATGCGAGTTCAGGGTAGAAGCCTTAGCCACAGACCCTCCGGGTTGTTCTGTGGGAGATCCAGGAGGGTGGGGACACCATAGGGCCCTCGGTGAGGGTGGTTAAGGTGGTAGGCACAGAGCCTTGCCAAGCGCTTGGTGCAGCCAGTGTTTGTCTGGAGCCAAGCTGTGTGCCTAGCAAAAGCTTGCAGGTGTTTGAGGACTGAGCTAATCAAGATGCTCAGAGATTAACAAAGAACATATATGCATATATGTATAATCCATGGACACGGGAATGCCTAGAGTGGGGGGGGGGGGGGCAGGATGGATGGGGGCAGAAGGGCGGCCAGAATGAGGAACAACTAATAATACGGTCAACAATTAACAAAACGAGTGGGAAGCCCTGCCCAGGTGCTCAAGGTGCGGCCTGCTCTTCAGTGCCCAAGGTGTGGGGCTGTTGTTTGGGCAAATGCTTGGTCCGTGAGGAGGCTTTGCCCTGTGACCCCTGGGCTTATTGAAGCCTTGGTGAGTGGGGTGCTGCGCCCCACTGGGTTGGGCTGGGGGATCCCAGGCCGGGTGTTACCAGGCATATGCTTTACAGAAGGGTCCAGGCCAGAGGTGCAGGGTGTGGGGCAAGGAAGCTCACTGCTTGCTTTGTATGGGGTTTGGGGAGCATGTGTTACCCACAGAGCCCTTAAGTGAGAGCGAGCTCCAGGGCCTGGGATCTAGAAGGATTGGGAAGGACATGCAGTGCTTTTTGTACAAAAAGGTAACAGGCTGCTTGTTGCCCCCAAATCATATTGGTATTGGTTACCAGGCTGTTGCTTTTTTATTTTTAAACCATGGCATCATGTTCTAATTCTATGCAATATAGACAATATCCTATGCTATTCCCAAATGTCCTTAGGGCAATGTGTTTTCTTTTGTTCATTAGTTTGGGGCCTGTTTGAGAGGAAGTTAGAAGCAACCAAGAAAATACTGGTAGCAAAACATTTGAGAAATGAATCGTAATAAATAAACAAAAAATAACATCAATAGGCTTTTCCCCTGTAGCTGGAGACCATCCACTAAGTTTGATTCGTGTTTCACTGAATATATATTCTATAAAACATATACAATAAAAGGACAACCATTTTATATTTTGATGCATTCAAACTGTCTTTATATGCCATGTGTTTCTATGCCCAAGTGATTTTTAGGATCCTATTACATATGCAGTTTGTATGCTGCATTCTCTCCTTAGGAGAATTCATTCAATAAAGATTTGCCTAGTATGTGCCAGGCCCTGTGCTGGTTCTGGGGACACACTGGTGACCAATAACAAGCCATTCCTATTTTCATGATCCTTATTTGATACTTTGCCTGTTTGCACACACACACACATGAACATTAACAGCGACTGTGTTTTGCTCACTGTTAGATCCCCAGTGTCAGGCGCACAGTAGCAATCAATAAAGATTTGCTGAAAGGTACTGGGACTGGCGGACAGTAACCAGACCACAATGCTAGTGTGATAACCCCAGTCAGGTGCCCCGGAGAAAAGAGCATGCTTCTCTGAGAGCATTTAACAACTGACTGTTGGGAGGGAAGGCTTTTCTGCTCAGAGGCCACACTCTGCCGCTTTGGGGCTTCTGCACTTGTGTCGGCCTGCGGACTAAATGGTCCTGGGTTCGATTCTGACCAAGAGCCATGCCCAGGTTTTGGGCTCAATCCCCAGCAGAGGGTGTGCAGGAGGCAGCCAATCAATGATTCTCTCTCGTCACTGATGTTTCTATCGCTCTCACTCCTTTCTCTCTGAAATCAATAAAAATATATTTTTTAAAAAGATATATGGAACACTATGTTCATTGCAGCATTATTTGCAATAGTTAAGACATGGAAACAATCTAAGTGTCCTTCAACAAATGATTGGATACAGAGAAGAGAGATTCCTCAGGGATCAGCATAGATCTAGCTCCTTTCTTAATCCTTAATCTTATAGGAGGGACCTCTGCATGCTTTTAGCCCTTCAGGACTTTACTTGATGTATCTCCATCACATTATTTTATATACTAATTCTATCAGATTTGTTAGGTTTTCAAGCCCACAAGCAAATAAAAGGAAGAGGAATGGCTGACGTAGAAAAGATACTATTCTAGGAAGAAGAAAACTACCCAAAAAATCCAGAAATAAAAAATTCTAACAGCATAGCAATATAGTAACACAGCTTAAACAGCAACCTCAGAACTTTTGTGGCCAAACATGATCCATTGATTAGTGAAGGAAGAATAGATTATATTTAAAATAATGTTAAATTATAAATTTTGACATTTAATTGACCTTTAATCAACTCACTAATGTGAAACATATGACATGAAAGTCTTATATTTTAAAATAGTTTAGTCCACATTTATTTTGACCTATGAAATCCACGATGCTTATTTAAGGGTCAGCACTTACCATAGCATGTCTTGAGCATGCAGGGGGCACAGAGTGTAGTAGGAAAAGAAGGCATATGATCCCTGACCTCTAGGAATGTGCCTCCTGAGAGGAGACTGAGCCTGAAGTAACAAGCCATCATAATTTTGTGTTTCAAACTGTGGAAGAGTAATTTGATCAGGGGCTGTAAAGCCTTCTTAGGGGAGAGGTGAATGTGAAATGAACTCAGCAAAAAAAAAAAATGGGAAAGATGCATATCTATAAATATATATTAAACCAAAAATATTGCGGCTGTCTCTTCAATTTACTGTTGAAAGAATATTCAGCTTATGCCCAAAAAAATCCAAAAGCTAATAGGATGTTCTTGAAAGCAAGCACAACACCTCATCTGGTAAAAGCCTGGCACAATCACTTAAAATCTTGCCAAGGACCTTCCATTCATTCTGGAAGGCCATAATCTGTGACTGGTGAAAAAGAGGAAATACTTGACTTTCATGTTCTTCTTTTGTTATGTCCAGATGCCTGTGATGACCTACTAACATTCCAATCTATGAAACCCAAGGGTTATCCGGAACCCCCTTATCATCCAGGGGACACAGTGGAATATGAATGTCGCCCAGGATACAAGCATCGTTTTCCTGTTCTTTCCATCTCTGCTGTTTGTCAGCCTGACGACACATGGGCACCTCTCCAGGAGGCTTGTACAAGTAAGTACACGACATTTTTATTTTTATTGCTCTAAAGATTTTCACACATTGTAGACTCCGTATTCCACTGTTACCATGATGGCTTTCTCATGTGGATGTCGATTTTAGGTAGCACTGTATTTTTGCAGGCCTTGAAAGTGTCCTGGAAATTTTTTATTTGGCTGTTAATGCTCTGGGTACATGTGAATCTTAAGTTTGGCCATTAGTGGCAACATGGATGGACCTCACGAATATGATGCTAAGCAAAATAAGTCAGTCAGAAAAAGCTAAAAGAACCGTATGATTTCACTCATATGTGAGATACAAAACTGAAACTCATAGACACAGACCACAGTTTGGTGGTAACCAGAGGGGAGAAAGGGGGTTTGTGGAAGTAGTACAGGGTAAGGGGGACTAAATTTGTGTGACAGAAGATGGTTTGACATTGGGTGGTGGGCACACAAAGCAATATATAGATCATGCATCATAGAAATGTACACTTGAAGCCTATGTATGCTTATTAACCAATGTCACCCCAATAAATGTAATAACAATAAATAAGAAGAAAAATATTTCTATCAATTTAATAGTGCAGTGTAGAATTTGTATTTTGATTCAAATCGGTTTTGAAATTGGTATAAACAAATGTGAAAATTTTCCTTTTAGAAAAGTCATGTCCACAGCTAGAAGAACTACTAAATGGACAAATAAAGTACAAAAATGGAAATCTGGAGTTTGGTACAGAAGCTCAGTATGGTTGTAATGAGGGGTAAGTAAGCTGCTCCTTGGAGAAGGAAGGTAAATGTTGCTGGTTCCATTTTTGGTTTGGTTCTCTTCTCAAGCGTTTCCATTATGTTGACCTCATCTTGCTTTCTGTGGAACAAGTTCTACTTACAGCCAATTAATCCTTGGGCTTTTTATTGAGACTGAAAAGCTGTGCAATAAATAGAAAGAAATTTAAATGAAAGAAAGACAAAATTGTATCATACTATCCTATGTAAGAAAACCCTAATATGCAAATCGACCAAACAGTGGAACGATTGGTCGCTATGATGTGCACTGACCACCAGGGGACAGATGCTCAATGCAGGAGCTGCCCCTTGGTAGTCAGTGCGCTCCCACAGGGGGAGCACCAGTCAGCCAGAAGTCGGGCTCATGGCTGGCGAGTGCAGCAGCAGTGGCAGGAGCCTCTCCTGTCTCCACTGCAGGCAGGCGGTAAGGAGCAAGGGGTTCCAGACTGTGAGAGGGCACAGGCCGGGCTGAGGGACACCCCCCAGTGCACGAAATTTCATGCACCAGGCCTCTAGTAAATAATGATAAGTCTATTTTAGTCATTAAAAATGTAGTAACTGTGATGACATGGTCCTACATTAAACTATAATAGATCAAAGGGTGGAAAGAGAGATGGGGAATTAATCAGTTAACAGAAGGAAGGGCAGGAATTAATGAAATATGTGTTGAAACTGAATGAACTTCCAGAGGTACTTCAGAATAATGTGAATATAAGAGCTAGTAGAGCTCCTATTCATTAAGGGGTAGCTGACCACCAGATTTCACCACATCCTGCTTCCACATGAATGTTCACGCTGTTGCCAACAAATGATCCAAAAGCAGCAAACACTTCTTCCTACAGACTATACACCTATCCCAGAACTAGCCCCATTTACCCTTCTTCTGCCCCCTTATCTATAGACAATGTGAATTCCTTCAAAATAACTTACATCTTTCTACTCAAAGCTGTAAAAGAACCCCATTAAACCAGGATGGCGGAAATGCTTGCCTTCACCTCCCTGCTGCTGGTGGTTTAGACTGCATGCCCCAGGACCTGGTTCTTTTTGCTGGTGACCATATGGCTAGTCAATAAACCTGTTTCTTCAGAAAATCTGGCTTTGAAGGGTTTTGTTTCACAACTTTATCCACTTTTTGGTTAGAGAAGAGACATTGTATGATATCTAGTCTTTTTAAAACCTATTGATTAGTTAATATTAATTTGTGGCTCAAAGTATGGAAGATGTCCCATGTGCGCTTGAGGGGAATTTGAATTCTGTTCTATGGTGCTCTATGTCTGTGAGATCTAGTTGTTGAAGTCCTCTATTTTCAGTCTTATTTCAGTCTGTTGTGCAATCTATCATTGTGAATGGGATATTGAAGTCTCCAACTATTACTGGAGAAATGCCTGTTTCATTGAAATGTGTATTTCTCTCTACAGTTGTGCCAGCTTTTGCTTCATGTATTTTGAAGGTCTCTTATTTTGTGCATAAATGTTTATAATTATTATATCTTCTTGCAGTATGTGAAACTGATTAAAATATAATGTGCTGCTTGTGTCTTACAACCTTTTGTGATTCTAAGTCTATTTTGCCTGAATTAGTATAGTGATGCTACCCTCTTTTGGTGACAATTTGCATGGAAGATTTTTTTCCATCCTTTCACTTTGCACTTGTTCATCTCTTTGAATCTCAAGTGAGTCTCTTGTAGACAGCATATAGTTAGATCTTTTGTTTTTATCCATGCTGCCCCTGTCTGCCTTTAGATTGTGGAATTTAATCCATTTAAATTTAAAGTAATTATTGCCCGGCCAGAATTGCTTAATGATTAAGTGTCAAACTGTGAACCAGGAAGACACATTTTTATTCCCTGTCAGGGCAGATGCCTATGTTTCAGGCTTGATCACCAGTGAGGGAAATGCAGGATGCAGCTGATGAATGTTTCTCTCTCACATTGATGTTTCTTTCTCTCCCTCTGTCTTCCCCTCTCTCTAAAATAAAATAACACATATTTTTAAAAATTCAAAATAATAAAATAATTATGGAAAGCTTTTTTTTTGCCCCACTTTTCATGCAATTCTCTTTTCATTTGCAAGTTAACTCTTATAATGAAATGTTGTAATCCCTTACTCATTTTCTGTTGTGTATATTCTATAGTGATTTTGTTTCCAGTTCCCAGGAGGATTACATTTAACATCCTAGACATATAACATTATAATTTGAATTTATAGCAACTTAAATTCAATAAATTACAATCATGGATCCTTATCAGCTCCTTCTCCATCCTTTTGGGTTGTTAATTTCATACTACCATCCAAATAATAATTGAAACACTGGCTTCTATACCATTTCTTTTCATTGTAAGATTAGTTTCTTAAATCACATAGAACATAAAAATACATTTACAAACCATTGTTATAATAATACTAGATTTAATAATTGCCCATGAATATACCCACACTGAGATGTTGATCCATAAGGCATGACTTACTGTAACCAAAAAAACATAAGTTCAGCTGCCTGCTGCAGGGAAACCCAAACTTGTGAGGCAGGTGCTGGTGCAAAAGGAAAGAGGTTTTACTCAGGTGCCCCAGGACCTAGAATTCCCAGCTCAAAGACCTCCCCCCATTCCTGTCCAAACCCCCAGATTTTATACAGATAGAGAGGGGAAGGATATTTTCCTGTGCAATTATCTTGCTAGCTTTTGGCAACTCGGGTCCTGTCCATTCATCTTCAGAGCTTTTGGTGCCCTAAGTGGAAGAATCAACCCCAGTACCATCTTGGCTCCCCAGTGCAAGGACTGACTGTCCAGGTAACATTATTCTCTAGTGTCCTTTAAGTTCACCTTTTAGGGCACCCTTAAGCATTCTTTGCATATTAGGTATAGTGGTAGGAAATTTTCTTACCTTTTATTTTTGGAAAGTCTTAATAATTCCCTCACGATAGAAGCACAGTTTTGCTATAGAAAGGATTTTTGATTGAACTTTTTTTTTTCTATCACTTAGAGTCTATTAGTTCAATGTCTTCTGGCCCCAGGCTCCTGATGAGATATCTGCTATTTAGTTGGGTCACTGACCGCTTTTCCCTTAGATTGTCAAATAAAAAAATGCAAGCCTGGCCAGCATGGCTCAGTGGTTGAGCAACAACCTATGATCCTGGAGATCACGGTTCAATTCCCGGTCAGGACACAAGCCTGGGTTGCTGGCTCAATCCCCAGTGTGGGGCGTGCAGGCAGAAGCCAATCAATGATTCTCTCTCATTGGTGTTTCTATCTCTCTCTCCTTCTCCCTTCCTCTCTGAAATTAATAAAAAATATATATATTTTTTAAATGGTAATAGCCAACACAACAATAGTCGTCCGGTGTGAATGAATCAAAATTATACCTTTTTCTTGTCAGATGGACAAAAATATATTTTTTGGAGTACCACAGAATTTTAGTAATTAGTTTGTGTGCCATGAGATGAAAAAGGTTGAAAATGGCTGACATAGATATTCTCAAAGAAGTTTTAGCTTCATTGAGAAGCACAATATATGCAGAGGTGTCCAAGGAAAATAGCAAACAGTAAGTACTGCAGAAATAGACTTGTTCATGATCCTTATAAAGTCTGGAAGGAGGAGAGAGTTCTGTGAATTACAATCATCAGAGATTCCATCGCGGAGGGGTCTCCCTGAGCTCTACCTAGGAAGCTTCTTCTAATCTGAAGAGTATTCATAACACCAAAAACTTGCCTAGCACTCCTATGTTCCTGATGCTAATTCACCTGCTACTCAAAACCACCCCACGTCATATATACCTTTCCACAGATGGGGAATTTAAGAAAGAGAACCAGCCCCAACCAGTTTGACTCAAAGTTTAGGGCGCTAGACTGTGGACTGAAGGGTCCCAGGTTTTATTCTGAGCAAGAGCACATACATTGATGTGTCTCTTTCACATCCATATTTCTCTCTCTCTCTCTCTCTCTCTCTCTCTCTCTCTCTCTCTCTCTCTCTCTCTCTCTCCCCCTGCCTTCAACTGTCCCTAAAAATTAATTGAAAAGATATCATCAGGTGCGGGTTAACAAAAAATTTAAAAAATAAAGAGAAACATTAAGCAACTTGTCCAAGCTCAACAAACAAGTCATTCTTGGAGCTGGGACTCGAATGCAGTCAGGTCAGCGCTTGGGCCGGATCTGGCTGCTGAGTCGTTGCCCTGACAGAGCAGAATGGCATGAGCAAGGACACAGATGTGACAGTGTGCTGTGCCTGCCAGAGGTAGCAATCGCCAGACTGTCAGGCGTGACCCGTTTATTTAGACACTTTGCTCTAGGCCAACGTGTGTTCATATGAAGAATCTCTGCGTTTGATTACACTGCAGATTCAGTTAACACATTCTATACCTGTCACTTCAAAAACTCCCTGAAGCTACTGTAGTTTTTACAACCATATAAAAACTTGTTCACTATTATGTGTTCCTGTTAAGTGATAAACAATAATCATTTCTTTTCTCATTTAGCTACTATTTACGTGGAACAAAAATTCTAAAATGTGAACTCTCTGGAAATGATGTGGAATGGAGTGATGCTCCACCACATTGTGAAGGTAAGTACATTCTGTCTTTAGAATTTAGAGCAGCAGTTCTCAAACGTTTTGGCCTGGGGACCCCCGTATGCTTTACAATTAACCAAGACCCCACAGCGCTTTTCTGCAGGAGGGTTAGTGCTATTGATATTCCTTATATTGGGATTAAAACAGAGAAGATTTTAAATAATTATTTATTAATTCATTTTTAAGAACAATAAGTTCAATGCATGTTAACAAATGCAGCATATTTTTGTCCTAAGATCGAACATTTCCAAAACAGTGGGAAGGGTGTCATTGCTTTACGTTTTTCTAATCTCTTCAGTATCTGGCTTAAAGGAAGAGCTCCACATTCATCCTGCGGCTTATCAGACAGTCTCAGGCCATTGGAAAATGTCACTGTCCACCCTAAGGATGACAGTGAGAAAAGACAAAATCGTGGCATACCTGAGAACCACTGATTCAGGAATGGATGTAGCATTTCTCAACTAGCACTGAGTTTTGCTAAATCATATTTTCTCATTAAATTGTCAGCATCTCTGATGATTAGAAAAAACTTAACATGGCCTTACAGATACACACAAGTCTTTCATACAGGTATCTTCTATGGGTATTTAAGAAAATGGGTTTTATTCTAAAATTTCATTTTCTCTATTAATGGTTTGAATTGGGATAATACATTTCTTTCTATACATTTTTTTAAATGTTTATTGAATTTGCTACTAGATGTAGAAATCATATGATAATGAACTATTGAAGGCAGTTCATAGGACACTACTAATGCCGTCTTAATCTTCTACTTTTTCTTTTGCCTTTCCTGTCCTTTTTCTCTCTCTCTCTTTTTAAGAGGTTTGGTGTAATCCACCTAAACAAATACCAAATGGGAGATTCACCAACAGCCACAAGGATATATTTGAATATAACGAAGAAGTTATTTATAGTTGCAATCCTTCAAAGGGACCAGACGAATATTCACTTTTTGGAGAGAGCAGGCTTGTTTGTTCTGGGCTTAACCAATGGAGCCCTGACCCTCCTGAGTGTAAAGGTGATAACATTTCCATTTCTTTCCCTCCCATTTGCAAACAGTGTGGAAACTTTTACCAACTTTTAAATACTTTGGCCAACAAGTAAAAAAACAAACAACAACAAAAACAGCCGTATATGCTTGTTCCTCCTGTTATATTTGTTTCTAATATATTTTTATGAGTGAACTAGAATAAAAATAATTCTACTTGCAGAGTTTCCCACTGTTCACCACGTATGTCCTTGACATTCCTGTTTATACATTGTTATTTACTATGTATACGCATGAGTTAAATTTTTTTTGGCTAGAACGCATCAAAAAACATACACTGGCTTTAAGGAAGTTTTATCTCATAATACAAGAAGTTTGACAGTTCTGGCTAGCCAAAATGGTAGAATAAATTGTAAGAGATTAACCCTCTCACCAATCGGATTGATAAAGTCTAGGCAAAGCATGCAGGCTTACATTGTTTAATTGTGCTTTGCTTTATTGCCCTTCACACATATTGAGTTGTATTTTGAGAATTGAATACCGTAACCCAGCAAAACAACTGTAACCTTCTTTACTTCAATACTCATTTATTGTTGTAGCCTGAAACAAACCTGAAATTACTCAGAGGTTTACCTATACTTAAAAAAACAATGCCTAAGGCATTTGAGCATGACCAAAAGTAGAACATACTGGAAAGTATTTGACTCTTGAACAAAAGGAACCACTGAAAAACAGGAAAATATGTTCTCTTTTCAAGTGCATATGTAATAATTTTAGTACCATATTGTAGGCAATATGTTTAAATTTTTTAATTTCAAAAATTGAAATTATTTACAGTACAGTATCTTTACAATGGAATGAATGCAGAAATCAAAACAAAGATATCTATAAAATCCCAAAATATTTAAAAATTATGAAGACACCTCTAACCCATGAATAAAAGAAGTATTCACAAGGGAAATTAGAACATGTTTTAAATTGAATGAACATGAATACACAATATATTGAAGTATCAAAATTTGCAAAATAGAGCAAAAACATTGCTTAGAAGAATATTCATAGCATGCAATACATACATTAGAACAAGAGAAAAATTTCAGCTCAAGAATATAAGCTTTCACTTTAAGGAACTAAAAAGGAAAAGCAAGTTGAATACAGAACAAGAAAGCAGAAAGAAATAATAAAGATAGAAATCAATAAAATTGAAAAAAACATGTTGAGAGAATCATTGAAACCAACACCTGGTTCTTGGGGAAGATCAATAATATGTATAAACCTATAGCCAGTGTGACAAAAAAAGTAGAAGACACAAATTACCAACATCCAGAATGAAAAAGAGAACATCATTAAATATCCTGCAGACAACCTGGCCAGCATGGCTCAGTGGTTGAGCATCCATCTATGAACCAGGAGGTTGCAGTTCAAGGACACACACCAAGGTTGCAGATTCGATCTCCAATGTGGGGTGTGCAGGAGATAACCTATCAATGATTCTCTCTCATCATTGACGTTTCTATATATCTCTTCCTCTCCCTTCCTCTCTAAAAAAAAAATATATATATATATTTTTTTTTCATTTGTCACCTCTCACATGTATCCCCTCTACATCCCAACTGCCTTTTCCAGCTCATGTTTCTAGCTGCCTACTCTAACAAAACTATTAAAACATTAGCAAGTAAAATCCTGTCATATTATGAAAATAAGAATACTATATCATAATCAAGTAGGATGTGTTCCATGAAGGCAAGGTTTTTTCAGATTTAAAGATTAATCAGTGTAATTTACCATACAAAGAGATGATAAAACAACAACAAAACATGATTATCTTAATAAATGCAAAAAAATACATTTGACAGAAAACTTCTTAGCAAACTAGGAATAGACGGGACCTAATTCTCTCAATCTGACAGAAGGTAGCTATGAGTATTGCACAGCTAACGTGACACTTAATGATAAAATATTTATTTCCCAATGATCTAGGGATGAGACAGGGATGTCTACTCATCCTGCTCTATTAATCATCATATTGAAGGTCCTATTCAGTACAATAAGGCAAAATATAGAAATAGGCATACATATTGGAAAGGAAGAAATAAAATAGACTTTGTTCAATATGACATGATAGTGTGGAAAATGTGAAAGACTTTAGTCTTATCAAGGTTGCTAGACACAAATTCAATGTACAGAAATCAATCGTATGTCTATACACTGGCAATAAACAATTAAAAATTTAAATTTTCAAAGTACCATTTATAACACCAAGCAATGCAAAGTATTTGCAAATGAATCTAACAACACATGTGCAATATTTGAATAGTTAAAACAAGGAAACTTTTTAAAAATTAAAGAAGGCATTTATAAATACAGAAAAATTCATTGCTAATGCATTTCAAGACTCAATATAATAAAGATGTCAATCCTCTATAACTGATGTATAGATGAGTATAATCCCAATAAATTTCCCCCCAGAAGTTTTTTAAGAAATTGACAAATTGTTTCTAAAATTTATTTGGAAAGACAAAAGAATAAGAATAGTCAAAATGATTTTGGGAAACAATTAGAGGACTCTGGTGTCAAGACTTATTAGAAAGCATACTATTTAATGAATAGTCAAGACTGTGTGGTATGGGTAAAAAGATAGCCATAGAAAAACAATGGACCAGAATAGAGGGTCTAGGGTAGAACCTTTCAAATGTCTCCAATTGATTTTATCACACATGTACAAACAATTCAGTGGAAAATGGTAAAAGTACAGGCACAATTGAACATCAATATGCCATAAAAGGGAACCACAACCCATATTAGCATATTCAAACATTTGCTAAAAATAGATCTTAGACTTGCCTTAAATTCAGAATTATAATAACACTTTTACTTGAAAACGTAGAACATATTCATGAATCGGTCAAAGATTTCTCGTATATAAAACCATAATCCTTTAAAGAAAAAAAAAGTTAACCAATTGGAATTCTTAAAAACTCAAAGCTGCTGCTCTCAAAAGACATTGCTATAAGAGTCTTAAAAAATGAGCCAAATCCCTGGCCAGTATGGCTCTATTGGTTGGAGCTTTGTCTTGTGTACCAAAAGGTTGCAGGTTATATTCTAGGCCAGGGCATGGACCTGGGCTGTGGGTTTGTGGCAAGTGCAGAAGACAACTGATCTCTCTCTCTCTCTCTCTCTCTCTCTCTCTCTCTCTCTCTCTCTCTCAATATGTCCTCAGGTGAGGATTGAAAAAAAAAGAAAGAACAAAACCACCATGAGCTATCACTAAACTCCTATAGAATGGCTGAAAATAAAAACAAGAAAAAAAAACTAAGAATATCATCTACTGGCAATGATACGGAGCAATTGAAACCCTCATATATAGCTGTTAAGAATGCAAAGTGGTATGTCCATTTTGGAACGCTGTTTGGCAATTTCTTATAAAGTTAAACATATACTTCCATACAACTCAGCAATCCAACTAAATTAAAACATGTTCACATAGAAACCTATAGGAGAATATTCATAGCAGCCTTAGTTACAATCACCCCACATTGGAAATAGCCACATATTTTTCAGTTGGTTAATGAACAACCATGGGGCATCCATATAATGAGATAATACTCCCCAATAAAGAGGAATAAGCTTCTAATCCACAAAATGACAGAAATGAATCTCAAATGCATTATATTAAGTGAAATGAGCCATACTCAGAGGCTGTGATCCCATTATGACACTCTGGAAAAGAAATGCTAGTGATACAAACGGATGAATGGTTGGTTGGCTGGTTGGGGAAGGTGGTTGGAGGTGGCTGTGGGGAGAGTTGATTACAGGAAACGTTGGAGAATAATGAAACTCTTCTATGTCTATAGTGGTGGTGATTACATGATTAGTGTTTACATTTATTAAACTTCATAAAGCTGTACACTTAAAATGGTGAGTTTTACTGTATGTAAACTATATCCAGTAAACCTAACTTAAAATTATTACTGTGATTTACAGCATTTTAGTACAACATAGAAAA